GGGGGGGGGGGGAATTAGTGCACCTGAAAATCTTGAAAAAGAGAATTTCCCTCAATTGTGTGAGGAACAGTACATGCGACGAATGGGAACAGGGGTATTGCGTATATTAAAAGAACAAGGACCAAGGTGAGACCTTTGAATGATTAAGAATGCAATAAAATAAGCATCATCATAATAGCGCGTCTTAAATTTTTCGATAAGGCTGATGAAGGACTCTCTTTCTACGACGATCTTAGTCGATTTTATTTGTATTTATTCATGGGACTACAAATAAATTATTTGTACGGAGGAAATCGTAGAATTATCCATTAGATTATCTCTCCATCATATGGTAGGGGTTCGCTACAGCGGAATTTCTCTCTAAAACGGGTTCTTTCTGGTTCCTTGAATTTCGTTGTAGAAAGAGTCCACCTGTACGACTATTTAAAATTAGTGTCTCAATTTACAGTGAATTCCGGATAGACGTTTATGGAGAAGGTTGAATTGGATGAGTTTTTAAAAGTGCAACCAGTATCACGGACCACTAGAGGTCGCCCGACAAACCAAATACAAAAGAAAATGCCATAAAAACACAAATTTGAATAAACTCCAGCCACTAACCTTGATGAACATGAGGAACAAGACTCCAAAAAACCAGATAAAAAGCCAAATTTCCCAGGAAACTTTGCATCCGCAAAGAATGAAAAAAAATCGTCACTGCTTCCCCAGCTTTGTCAGAGTTTGGATCTTTGTTTGATGTTTTGAAAAGTGGAGTTTGAGTTATCGTAGAAAATTTTGATTTGTTCATATATCATTTGAGGAAACTTGGTCTTGGCCACGAACAGCCATAGTGCGCATTATTCCATTCATTTTACTATTCCGAACAATTCCCAACAACCGGTTTAAATCAAAATTCTCTGTTCTCGTAATACTCTCTCTGAAAAATTCGTTTTATCCCTGATCCGTTTTAAAAACGCCGGAAATAAATATTACCATACTTTCCACTTTCAAAAAATTTAGCACACGACCCAATTTTCATTTCATTAATTTTCTGGACAATACGAAAACCCCCAAAATATGATTTAGCCGACAGGAAGTTGTAAAATTCGACTTATTTCCTGGGAAGCACGATTTAAGATCAATCATGTATGGTAATAATCTCGACTTCTTGCGGACAAGTACAGTATCTTGAAAGATTTTTCCGTGTAAAACCTGACAAAATTTTAACCCGGTACTATAGAAAAAAATAACATACCCAGAAGGTTCACATACGTACCGATATAGACGAGTAAAATTCGCTTTATCTCATAATGAATAAGTGACACGTATGCGGATGAATTTTAAAACGCTTCGTTTAAATTTCATTGTTCGTTAGCCGGGACTCAAAAAGCCTGTCTAACACCACGCAGACATGGCTGTTAATGATTCTCCGGTGAAGAAAGCAGAAATAAACTAAAAGTGCATATAGTATATAAATATTCTGGCCAGTAACCATCAGGCGTCACTGCTGTTCAATATAATCAGAGTCGTCCATTAGCGCTTTTCTTCGTCCTCGTCGTGCTCATATCCTTTCTTGCCAGCCCGTTCCTTTTGTACGGATGCCCTCTGGTCACCCATTCATGGAAATCACGGCAGCGAAAATACGTCCCTTCAGAAATCCAGAAAAAAATTATCTATAAATAAATATATATATAGAAATATATATGGCGCAGATTTTGTCCTACTTGCTGACTATGACGGAGCGTTTCATTCTTTTCGTCCCTCTGTCGCTTGCAATTGGAACCCGCTCGTCTGGAAATTGATTCGTCCGTTTCGTCAGTCCCTCCTGGATTCAGCCACGAGTCTCGTGCATGATTTGGCATTCGGCAGAAAGAAAGAAAAAATGTCTCTTCAGAATTTTGCAGTGTCACAACTTTCATGCAAGAAAATGAGGAGAGATAGAGAGTGCAGAGCTTGGAAGTGTCGCGAATTCAACTCGTCGTTAGATTTTCAGCTCATATTAAAGAAGGATTGCCGAATTTTAAAAAAAATATCATTTCGATGAACGTGAAGCCCGGAAATAGGTATATATTTTTATTGAAACAAAAATATCATGTTTTTTTCCTTTCTTGTGAGGCTTCCAGGATTTAAAGAAAATTGGTGCGCCGCATTTTCATATGAACATTTTGATTTAAAATCTGTATCATTCTCGTGAATCAAACGGAGAACCAATAAATCTTTAAAACATTTATTCTCGCCTCATTTACATAACTTTTGTGGGTTGATGTGGACGTGAGTTCATTACAAGATATTTTCCTATTCCTAATTTTTAAAGCTTTCAACCACAGGTTACGATGATTAAAAAACTTTTTGTTAGAGGTCTTAGTTGAATAGGTCGCTTTTTGAAAATGGATTTCGTAGATTTGCATTTCGCGGGAATTAAAAGGAAAGTGTACATATAGCTGAGTTACACTGAATAAATTCATTGAAGGGGGTTTTTCAATCAAAAATAATTTTCGGATGAGTATCCGAAAATTCTGTTCCAATCAGTTTCAGATCAGGAATTTTTTTTACATTTTATAGATGATGCATACTTGTGTAGATAATGCAATTGTGTGTTTAATGCCACGAAAAAAAATGTATTCTTAAACTACTGCTTGTGAAGTATAGTACTATACCACAGACGTTCGCAAAAAATTACCTTCCTACCATTTGTGCATTCAAGTCAATTTTTTCTAAAAAGAAAAATGCAAGTTCTTTGAAGTACCATTTTCTATACATTTCAACAGGAAGCACTGCACACGAAAATTGACTAAGAAATTACAGTATCAGATTTTCTTGGTACAGTAAACTGTCCACAGTCATAGTTTACAAATTGATGCACTAAGTCTAGTTTAAACCTCAACGCATCTAAATCAAACCTGCGTTTCCGTTGCGCATGTATAATCTAGGTAATCGTATATGCGATGATCTTGACTTCACATCTTGATAGTGAAAAAATAAATGTGCAATTTGAGTAAATCTCAAAAAGAAATTTGTCCATCAACTCATGTCGGTTTCTCTTAACCTTCCCGATATAACTCGCGAAAATCGGTTGAGCAAATAACGAAGCACCCTCCTCCCCCCATCACCCATCTCTCTCTTTTCCTACGCGTTTTTTTCCAAGATGGGTGCAACCCAACCGAAAATGTGCCAAAAATATTCCGCACAACAGAAGCCAGCAGCAGCACAGTTGTGCAGCACGACAGCGAGGCGAAGGGGGAGGAGGAAGAGGCACTCGGGCAGAATGGCGTTGTGCAGAAAAACACGTTGCCAAAAAGGCTCAGCAGAGGAAAAGAGAGAAGAGAGAGAGAGAAAAAAGGCTGGAAAACACGCAGGAGGGGTGGCCGTGGAGAGAATCTCTGATTACGGAAACCCGCCAATCAAAAACGAGTGATTTATGGCTTTCTGGGCGAGGAAATTACAGGGTCAATGGTCACCCCGCAGCGGGGCGAGCGGAGCGCCCGGGGTTGCATGCATTCACCCGAGGCTTTGTTCCCCTCGTGTGTGTGCGGATGCAAAAATTTTTCTCTCTCTCTCCCTCTTTTTTTTCTTCTCTATTTCTCTCTTGGGTTTCATACCCACACCCGACTCACGCGGAAATTTCTTTTTTTTTTGTCTCCCTCTTATACTCTTCAATGTTTCTGACGTTTTGCCATGTGTGCGACGAATAACACAACGTCTTGCTCATGCGCATCATAACCTTCGGTTTGAAAGAGAATTTATGCAAATAAGCAGAAAAATGGGGCTTTTGAGCTTCAAGACCACAGCAGCTACTTTGGTATAGGGGCTCTGCGACATCCTCGTTGTATTCTTTCTTCTTCATTTGTGGCATTTTCTCGTCGAGAGGATACACCAACTAAATAGTACTGTCTTTAAATGCACAAATTAGTACTCGTATCGAAATACAATGCTAAAAGCGCATCAGGGATTATGACAAAAAAATATATGTCAACATCGTCTGAAAATCCTTTTTCCAGCCAATTGATCTCCTTGGTTCCTTACAGAATTTAAGTTCTTTATCTGGTTCAAGCTGGGTGAGTAGAATTTATTTTCCAAAAATAAAAAATATATCACTGAATAATGTTAAAATATATACAGATAATATGGCACTTTTTTCTACTGAAATGGCCTGCGGTTGATGCCATGTTGATTATGCAAGTTTTGAGTGTCTTTGGAATCTATGGATTTGGATTTTTGTGGCAGTTTTCTTATTAAATAAATTTGTCTTCTCGTATTTTTTCATACATAATTATGAATACCTCGCAGAAATAATATCAAATAAGCTTGTCTTCAATTTGCTTCGATATTTTTTTTTAGGTGAGGAAGTACTTTGAAATGGAGAACCGCACAAACCTGAGGCTGCTTGCTGAATCAATTAAATTATTTCCCTGGTAACTTGGATCATTAAATTTTTTTATTGTATTGTAATATACCTTTCTTCTGTTTTACTGATACAGTGATACTTGACGGTATGCCATGTACTGTATATGAACACTGTAAGCATATACTGTAATTCATTGTTTTTTTGTATCATGTGTATCTTTAAGATTCCGGAAGTCTATGCAGTAGTTACCAAGTTACCAAAGGTTGTGATTGAGATTCACAAATTTTCTTTCTTCTGATCTAGAATTTTGGATATTCATTACTGTACCTACTAAAGAAAAATATCCCAAGAGAATTTCGAGAGAGAAATACTGTACAATGCGATTCGTGTTGCTTTTACGCATATTATGTAATCCGCTCCACGTTGCATTAGTACAGTGAATGACTACGACACCGATTTATATCAATATGTTGTTATCAAGTCACCGATGAACAGATTGGATAAAATAATATATTTATCGCTTCAAATAGGCAGTTGTCAGTTTCACACAAAAATATTTCCAAGGTGCAACCGCATTCGTGGTGACAGTCATAAAAATTGTAGGAATATTTCTGGAGGACAGCGAATTGCGGTTTTTTTTTTCGCAGGCATTCTCTTTTAGCACCAGATTCTGAGCTCAGTCTGCTTTCAAATGGCTGAAGGAGAATTGTGTTGCAGTTGTGTCACCGAGCCAATGCTCAAACTCAGACTTCACCTCATTCATGACACGTTTCAATGAATCCTGCAAAGAAAGAATACGATGATTGTATCGGAAAATTTAGTCGTTCATTTACCTTCAGTGATTCTATCAACTTATTCAATCGAAAATAAGGATTTTTGGAAGTTCTTATCTATCCTTTTGAATCAACACTATAGATTTTCATTGCAGGTAACGATGACACCACCAACACTCCACCTCGCGCATTGCCGCGATCGGTTCACGGTGCGAGGAACAATGGTAAAAGAGCGACATCTCTTTAAAGTTACTCACAATATTCGCCTGCGCAATGTCCGGAATGAGCGACGAGATGATATCGTAATTCATGACACCCACGAGCCGGCAATACTCCGAACCGTCCGTCACGCATAGCTCTGCAATCGTCATGGCAATGTCGGTTTTCAGGAGATTGACCGAATAAAAGAACATGGCATCGCTATAGATGCAAGCCCGTGTCCGATCATTGATAGTAGTGCCCGAAGATAATGCTTTCGACAACAATTTCCAATTCCTCTCGTCGTAATTCACTCTAGCGTAGGCTACGCGTCCAGGATTAACGATGATCCAATCGGTTTTGTCTGCCGGACACGCCAAGTCCTCAGAGCTCTTGTTGCGTAGCCAGTAGAAGATATTCTTCGCGCTGAACTTCGTATTCTTCGCTGAATTTAAATAGATCGGGAAGTTCCACGTTTTCTTTTCCGTAGAAGCCACCGCCTTGAGAGGGTCGCCAGGACAGGCCTTGGCTGAATGAACGACGCCAGTGGCCCTTACAGCAGTCTGCAATTTTTAAGCATAACTTTCTTATTATTGCTCATTTAATGCCTACAATAGGGTTTTTTTTCAATTCCAAGGCGTCAGTTTTTACTGGTATAAAACAAGTAAAGCGGTATCCATTCACAAAACCGAATGAACTTGAGAGGATTACCGTGAAAGTATCACGCCTTTTTCATAAAGTCCGGGGAAAAAATTTCAATAAATGTGAGAAATTTAGGTATGTGCCATACTTGAATCTTACAATAATAAAAAAATTGTATTTAAACTTTTTGAAATCAAAGCAGTTGAAAATTAATTGAATTCAGGATGGAATTATTGTAGATCCAAATCTTAATTCTGGCGCCTCTTATTTTTGAGATGTTGCAGTTGTCAACCACTGGAAATGGATTGGGTGCCTTAGTGTAGGATAAAAATTTGCTTAACAATTTTAGGGTGAAAAAAATCAGAATTTCCAGTTTTAGATATGCGCTTAATAGATTTTTTAATGAGTTACTATAGTACGGAAAATCCGGAAAAAAGCAGTTGCGAGGTTCCACGGAATCGCGAGTAATTTTTCTCACTTTGGAGTGTTTTCGAGATTAAGGTACGCCAGAGCTCAATGAAAATTTAGCATACACGTCAATTCCTGCTTACTGCACATATTCTTGGACAGGTATGAGATATTTCAGGTTATTGGATTCTGGTGCTATTTTTAGCATAATGATAGCACATATTGAATTCATGTAGTTGCTGGAAATACATCTGGTTTCCTGTTCCTGAAAATGAATGATAGTTCTTCAAATGTCCGATCGATATTTGTGAGACCTCCAATTACGCTTCGTTTCGAATTACTGGTCAAAATCCATGATAAGAGGTAAAAGCTACTAAGCTTTCCACCCCAAAAATTATTTTCCTATATTCCTAGCAGAAATTTTAAAAATTCAAGGATTCACGGGGCTCTCAGTAACTCTGGCTGTGTGCTAAGTCGGCTGTAGATACATTATCTTTTCGTTTACAATAGTAGAAAAAAGCTCGTACTTGCGATTCTCAGTCCCTTTGTAATTTTGAATGGACGCAGTACCAGTTTTTCAACCACTCGTAGTTTCTCGTCACAGTTACGGTCGGAACGAAACGTTCTCCGGGTTTGAAGTATTCTTGGAACAAAAGATGAATTGTAGTTTTTTCAGGGATGCGATCAGCCACTAAAGGGGTACTGCTGACGACCTCGTGAAGACCTTTCAAAAACTCGTGCGTACCGCTGACGGTATCGAGCCAGTTCAAAGTCAGGTACTGATTCATTGCGCGCCAGAAAACTTCGTCGTTGAAAATTTTCATCAACATCTTCAATAAGGAAATTCCTGAAAGCATTTTCAGCAATATATTTTTTAAATAAAATATCTAGAGGCATCAATATGGAAGTATTGGGAGCACCTTTCCCGATTTCGTATTCGTATTTCCATGAGTGATGGGGATGCCAAATGCAAATGTCGCACGGGACTCGATTGTCCTCTCGAAGCCCGACTTCGTGGATGGCAATGTCGAAATATGTCGCACGATGAACATTTGGAGCCATCTTTGGTTCCGAAAATTGTCCATAAAACTTTGAATCACGATAAAAGTGACGAAAAGCACGAGGGGTTCCCTTCAGAAGTCTAGCGAATTTTTCTACAAATCATGATTACGGTCGTATAAAGCCTTTTCAGCAATTCAACAATTTTTTTATGAAACTCATCCCGCAGAATAGCATAAATAACTGGCTGATAAGGTTTTTTTACTTCCAGTCACAAGAATATTTTTGCACGAAATGGCGCGTGTGTGCGATTTTTTTTTAATTATTTCGGTGGCTCTTTTGGTGTGAATAACATAAAAATTAGAAAACTTACATGGATGCAAAGCTAGCAACGATGCATCGGCAGTTTTGCGAAAGTTCGTGCTGAAATCATTAAAGATCAAAAAAAGAAAAATACCGAAGAAAATGTAAATGCATCTGCCGCAGAAAACAATCGAGAACCTCTTTTTGGATATCAATGGGAAAGTTACGAAAAATTACAGTCTGTCGACTGCTGAACACAAAAATGAAGCGAACGAAACTTAATTACTGTTCCAAAATTTTTCTAATACCTCAGCTCCATCAGATACAGTAACATGAAATTTTACCGATACAAACAATGAATTGGGGGTTTCATCAAACTGCAAAAGCAATTTTTGATTTCGCAAAAAATCTTTCCAATTCCCTTCGTTCCCCAAATTTCGCGACTCACACTGCCAACGACTTCCAACGACACCAAATGTGCCATTGATCGATGCAACCAAGAAGTTGCGTTGTTTTCTCCTGAGATCCCGCAACGAAACCACATTTCAGCATCCCAACGAGCCAATGAAGCGACTGTTTTGTATGTTTCCATCAACGGGTCAGAACCTGGTTTCAATCCTTTCGTTCCGAAATTTTTAGGATGTCTGCAAGAAGCAGGACAAAAAAATGTTTCAAATGGATCTCATCATATAAAATATTGACGACAATTTTATTCTTCTTTGTGCAAATCACCCGCAAATCCTTCAAATGCTGGAAAAATTAATCATATTTTTTACCAGAGGATTTCAGTCACAGTTCCTTTATGGAGCCTGTGGGTACAATTTTTTGAAATCTATCATACCAGCGATTACAGTATCTTGACTTCTGGAATGCCATTTGAGAAGGAAACTCGGTATCAAAAATCTGGAATTTTTTCAGACTCATCCTTTCATCATTGAAAAAAGAAAGATTTTCTGCCGTGCTAATGCTCGAACTAGTTTCAAATAATTGAAAAATTATGCATTCGCAACGATAATATCGTCGTCAAATTCAGTCGCTGAAAATTTCTGACTTCTTCCACGATGGACGAGACTCTCTGCCATGCTAAAGCTCAACCTAGTTTAAATTTTTTTTTACATTTTTCATGCTCAAGAATGATACGGTTCAACCTCGATTACTCAAAACTCTTCAAGTAAAATACAGTACCTCCAAAATGAATCGAATTTTTCAAGTTCCTGTCTGAATGTACTATAGAACTAGTGCATCAAAAATCTTTCTAGCTCAATAGCTTTTCCACTAAAGCCTCCATAGCTAGAATTTTCTGATGCCTTTTCGCTATTATTTCATTGACACATGCAAGAAAAAGCAATAAAAAATGCGACTTACGTTTTAAAAGGTCTTTAAATTAAAGACGAATCGGGCAAATAAACCCTTGCCTCCAAGTTCAGGATCATCCTTAAGAATCAATTTAAGGCCCAGAAAAGCACTGATTACAATTCCCTGCAATAATTATTTTAAGTAAAAAAAAAGCATTTTTCCCTAATAATGCTGGAAAAATTAATCACATTTTATACCAGAGGATTTCAGTCACAGTTCCCTAAAAACCTTCCTAACTCGAATTTTGTTCTGGTCCTTCGTAATTCGATTCAAAGAGGTTCGACTGTATTGTCGTCAACTTTAGCCGCATTTCATGACGACGCTTCCGCCATCATTGGACAACAGACCTTATAATTAGCAAGAAAGGAAAAAAAACATTTTTGCACAAAACTTGGCACACAACTCACGCGTAAATGACCCCCAGTTTCGCAACTCCGTATTCAGGAATCATCGCAGCCAATTCCGGAGCCGTCGCGACGACAAGAGCGGTTGGCATCGGAGCATAACTGATTTTCACAATGAGCTCCATTTGCCTACCCACTTCCGACACATACGGCATGATCATCTCTTCGTAATAAGCCGCATCTTTGCTCTTTTCCGTCAACAGACGAGTCGACGTGCCTTGAATCATGGGCGTGAAGACTTTCATGTTGTTGGACACGAGGAAAGTCAGCTCCTCCACATTCATCGGCGACGTGAGCGAGAAGGTGTCCCAGGACCAGTGATTCCTGTCCGCCTGGTTCCTTTTTTTGTTTGTTTTTAAAGGAGTTCAGGACTGTGTAATTAAGCCGGAAAGAGAGTTTTTTCTTCGTGTAAAAACGTTTCTCACAGCATCTTCGTGGTGGCGACCAAAGGCGCGTTGGAGATGGAAATGGAACCATGTGGGCGTCCGACTGTGACGAAAAGCGGGGCCCTGAGACGTGGATCATCAAAGCACGGGAACGGAAGTTTCGATCCCGGCAAGAACTTGTCGGAAGGAACCTTGCTGAAAAGAAATAAAAATTGACCGAGAGAAAAAGAAGAGAAAAACTTCATAAAGAAGGAAGGCGGTGTTTTTTTGTTGTTGTTTTTTATTTAATGCCAACAAAAACGCACTCTTTCCTGGGAAGCACGATGGTGTTGAGGAAATAAAATTTCCCTTGCGAATCCAAGTCGAAGGAAATCGGACCCGCGCTGAACGGAATCGTGAGCAATGCAATAGTACCCACCGGAGGGGATTCCACCAGAGTGATCAGTATTTTGGTGGCAGAGACCTGCATGAAAATCAGATAATACGTAATGAGCAATTCAGTCAAAATATTGGAAAATGCAAATAAGAGCTGCGAAGGAAAGAAAATAAACATCGCGCAAAGGCTCAGATTTCCAACGTGCAGGGCCTCCAATTTTAAATCATTGCTTCGCCGGGTGAGCCCCGATAAAGAAAAATGATCGTCGGGCTATTTTTCCCCGGGTTCCAACATTCCGAGAACCTTTATTTTATCTATTATCTTTTGGTCCACGTCGGATAATTTCGTTTTGTCTCTGTTAATTTATTTCAAGCGCGAAAACCACGGAATGACCTGCACGAAAGTGGCCATCGAGCGATTAAAAAATAAATGAATAATATGTCATTGTGCTTCCCGAAGAAGGCTTTTTCACAATTACAAAAGCTATTAAATCATAATTTAATTGCAATCCTGCTTGAACTGTGAGCCAAGGCCACAACCTCATAAAAATGACCTCAAGTCTTTAAAATAAATTTAATTATAATATTTAGATGAAGTTTACGACGCTGAAAAATTGCAAACGGCCGGCCTTCAAAAGAATATGTAAAAGTTGTCAATTCTCGCGTAGATAGAAATAATTTTAGCACAAATGAGTTTGTAATGATCTCATAAATATATCAAGAAGCGCCGCGAAAATGAAACAAGATGCGTCAATTCTCAAGATTGGCTCTGAATTTTGCTGCCAATCCGTTTTCCAGCAGATGACCGTCGACTCGAGTCACGATGTAATGATCTCATAAATATATCAAGAAGCGCCGCGAAAATGAAACAAGATGCGTCAATTCTCAAGATTGGCTCTGAATTTTGCTGCCAATCCGTTTTCCAGCAGATGACCGTCGACTCGAGTCACGAAGTCGTTCGAGGAACTTTACAGCCCACACATAAATCCCGAAGAACAAAATCAAACCCAAAAAGGGAAGTCGTGAAATGATCGAAAGCGATTTCGATCGGGAACGTCACAACGGCGGGTCATAAAAAAAAGCAACTTCACTGATCGAAGTAATGATTCATATAAACCCATTTATTACAAAAATAAAATAAAAATAAAACTCTCACTTGGATGGAATCGATTACAGGCTTGGCATTCGGGATCGTCAAGCGGATTTTTTCCCTTTGAATGCTCAAGTCCGCGTTGTCGAGCTTGATGACGTTCGTTTCCGACACAAACATGATTTCTATGGTCATTGTTCGCTTCACCAGCAATTCCCTGTCATCCTGGGCCACGGCTGATGTCATGGTCAGGGTTTTGTAGTAAACATACGCTTGTCCAGGTGCGGGTTTCGTGGCCAACATGCTGGCCAAGCGCTTCATGTTTTTCTCCAGGGGTGTGAGTACCGTGAACTCGTACCCAATGGGTACTACCCGGAACCCCAACGAGGCGAACCGAACTATTGCATCCTGCGACTTTCTTAGTTCTCTGAGGAAAGAACGGGGTTTTTGCATTTCGATACGGAGGTTGGGTCAAATGAGCGCCAAATTGAAGGCAATACTGATCGTATCGGGACAAAATTATCGTTACACACCATTAAACGAGAGAGGTTGATGTGTTTACAGGTCTGATGTGTTAATCGACTGAAAAAAACAGTCCGAAGCACCATTTATATGCAGCGAAAATTCAAACATTTTTGCATGCGCTTCAATGCCGACAATCCTTACTAAACCTGGAATTGTACATTTTTTTAAGCCCTTTTTCATGTAAAAAGAAGTAATGATAAATGGTAACGAAGAATAAAAATAGTTCCATGAAAAAACCCATTTGCTTAACGGGAATTGAATGACATTTGAGAAGCTCAAATGTTGCAAAGCAATCCACACTCGTTGGATGATGGGACTGTCTGGCATTTATGAGGTTCCACATGGAAATCAAGCCAAAAAACAAGATCAATTTACTGTTCATTTTCACACGCGGCTTCAGGGTTTGAGGTTTAAAAAAGAACATTTAAAAAATTGATAAGGTGCTAGATCTGACGATAGTTTAACTTTAATGGTTGAGGATCTTTTCATCCAACTGAAAAGCACGATAATGGAAAGGCCGAGATGGGGTTAGAATATGAGTACGTCGCAAAATGATGCCTGCTTAAAACTGAATTACAGTACTGTACTGTATATTAGCATTTTGAAAGCAGAAGTAAACAGTTAAAAGTACCAGAGAATAAAAGGAACCCCTGCTATGATACGAGTATATGTTAGACTTATCACGCCGCCACGACATTTAATGTAAGTTTCCATAGGTACCCTAATCTTACAAATTAAGATGCAAAAATTTGAAAATTTGTTAGCCCCTTGTCTATTGTTGTAATTGAACCGAAGTTAATTTTGCTTGATACTCTTATGCCATTTCGAGTTTTTCAGTTTATTCCTTTATCAACACACGATGAGCATTCCGTTAGTAATATATGTGATTTGACATCGAAGTTTTATTGTTCCAAAATTTATAGTTTTTGTTCCAAGCTTTTGGAAAAATTGGTTTAAAACGCTTTTGATCATTCCACCAAGTATAAATTCGTTATTTGTGCAACTCCAATTTCTGGCAAAATTAAAATGTGGAATCTTTCGTGAATACATTATAAGAATTCAAACAATTACCTGTACTGCATACACTAGGAAGTATATTGATCAAGCTAGTGCTTGAAGCACGAATATTAAGGCATGTAAGGATACTCAAATGGATTAGACTTCAACCATTGAATCACATTTCAACCAAACTTGAACGAAAAAATATTCGGTACAATCCTGAATTTTCCACAGAGGATCACAAAACTCAAGACGCTAGTTAGTTCATCTGGCTCCTCCGAAAATTGTCTCCGCAATTCCTCGTCGACTCATTTCAAGTTCTTAGAAGTTAATGGCATTGATCAATTCATGAAATACTGGATTAAACTTCGCTAGAATAGTAGAGAAGTGTGAAAAGAAACAAATCGAAATACAGAGGGACTGAAAAAAGCCTGCGTCACGTCGAGTATATGCACTGCAATTATTTGTGAGGATTAGGAATAATGAACTGAAGTTAAAATATGACCCACATTCAGTCACTGCAATTCTCGATCTTTCTTGTTCAACAGAAATTCGCGCCAATTGAAACGGTTTTCTGCACTTCAACTTGGTCTGAGGAAAATCACGTCAATAATTTTCTTATGATGCGTACACATGTAACAGAAAATTTTCGAATTGGCATTCAAGTTATATTTTCGAACGAAGAAAAAAACGAACTAACGACAAGTAATACATCATAAAAACAGCCCCTTATTACGTCGAGGCGACGTTTTTACGAGTCTCTGCTTCGATAAGCGCTCAAAATTTCCCAGCCCCTCAAATAAGGTATTCGGATTTATACAGAAAAACTCGGGGATTACCCAAATATCAAATATACACGTAACCATTCCATTACTATTTAAACAAAAGAACCACATCAAGGTTCGACACGCCCACACAAACGCATTCTGGAAATGTTCCCTGGTTGAAAAAAACCAGCCCGAACCGCGGATGCAGCTCATGGCAATAATCGGTCCAAGAAACTTATATTCCCAGAACCAGTTGTAAAAAGAGTGATGCCAAGGAAAGGAAAGGCAAGTCACGCGATCGGACAATTTATTTCGCGGAAAAGTATCGAAAATGTATATAGAAAAAGCGGAATCTTTTTTTTTCTCTCTCTCCCTCTCTCAAATACTCACGCGGTTGCCCGAACAGCTCGTCCTACGGGAAACCCTATGCTGGACTCGGCAGCGCGTAGGGCTAGATACCGGTCGATATTTTTTGTAGCAACAGATGTCGCCCTTCGTACGGACCGTAACCGACTTTTGCTTCTGTCCGCCATGCTGGCAATAACCTGCTGTAGGATTCTTTTTTGTGTCAAAAAAGGCTACTACAAATACTCCGGAACATTCTTCTCGGGAAAAAAAAGTGATCACGATGAAAAGAGATTAATGATCGTTAAATCGAGTAATGCAATTCCTCTACAAAAAAAGGACTTTCGCTAGGCCTCGGTTTCTTCAAAATGTGCTGCCGATGTATTCTAGCAACCTTGACAAACGTCGATGAGTTCAGGTGAATTATAAACCATTTTACATGGTCGTGTATTACATTAATTAATGGAAAACCGTCAACGCGCTTCAAAAGGAAACTTCGAAAAGGAGATCACCACATTTCCACAAAAACTTAAACAATAATATATTGCATAATAACACACACACACACACACAAAATCGGCGAGAACATCGTCACACAATTGGTTTCACGAATTCAAGGAGTGCAGTGAATTGACCAGGCCTGACCTAACCGGATTTAACACGGGCTTCAATTGAAAAAAATATTGTCAATGGAACAAAATCTAAAAATTCTCCAAGAACTTATAAAATATTTTATTAATCAGAAGCAGTGTAACTCTAAACTTTTTTTCACGCGAAGTTTAATTCAAATTCACCAAATCTACTTTGATGCGCGTACAATAATGAAAACATGCAGTCAACTTAAATTGAATGTTCGCAAAAAAGACTTTATCTCAGGCAAGACTATAGTTCAATCGAATGGACTTTATTCAGAGTTCAGGATACCACGGAGTTAGGAATAAATAAAGCATTTCAAATCGAAAACAACCACAAGCACTATAAAAAATAAAATAAAAACACCTTTCGCGGTTCAACAAACACTAGACACTTTAACCAGAAAGAGGGCATTTCACGAAATTTTGGCACATTCATAAAAAAATAATTGCATTAATTCAGGTCATCAAAATCGAAAAACAATCTGGAGTTATTGTCTGACATAATCCAATCCACCGAGACGATTGAGGTTCTTTTATTGTACACTTCCCGGTGACTCCGCAGCCACTTCGAATAAAGATAAATTTATAAGAAATGTATTCCAGTATATGATCCAGAAGGAAAAAGACTTTCGATAGGAAGATATCACAAATAACTGAAGAATAGCAGAGACACGAAAAATGACAAATACTAACTTCTCTTCAACTCGAGAAAAAGGGAGTGGCGATGATCCGCCGATGAAAAATAAATTACTGTACTGTACAGTACTTCGAACAAGGTTCGGCGAAAATAGAACATGCTTCGGATTGAATTCTAGAATCAAAATCTGCAATGTCATCAAACCCTTCACAATCAAATGAAGAAAAATCTTTGCTAGAAATTAAAACAAAGAAAGCATGAAGATTCGTCCATTCGTTTCACCCCCCACGGCTTTTCATTTCAAAACTTTTTTTTCACTGATGCTGGTGCCATCTGCTCATTCTCATACAATCGCACTCCGGATTGTATTCTATTTTATCAAACTCTGCAATGTTATCAAAACCGTCACGAGCAAATGCAGGAAAACCTGTTCCTCAAAATTGAAGCAAAAAAAAAGGCATGAAGATTTATACATTCATTCCATTCGCGCACAGATTTGTATTTCAAAACTTTTTTTTCACTGACAATAGCGCCATCATTTTCTCATTCTCGCGCCGTCGAACTCAATGTCCGCGGGAGACTTGTATACACGAGCTTCTGCACGCTAAAAATCCGCATAAACTCGCATAAACAAGCCGACCAAGCTCAGGACATTTCATTTTTCGCAAGAAGAAGAAAAAAATAAAAATATCGGGCGATGTGACATCTGATGTGTTGGGCCATCTTGGATTTTTCCTTCCCTCGAGTGATGACGTCTTCTGTCAAGTTGCGTATGCTCTCGCCACAGAGGACCTGTAGAGACGAGCTTCTGCCCAAGTTTCAATCAGCAAAAACTCGCTTCTACAGGCTGGTCTACGAACGAGGCAACTTCTCTCTCACTTTTCAGTCCAGTCCAGTCCAGTCCAGACACACAAACACCAAAAATTCCTCCGCCCACGACGAGGAGAAGAGACAAGCCTGGAAGAAATCGAGCGGCCGCTGGAAACGCTGATTGCAGGCTTCGAAAAGCCGATGCAGAAAAAAAAAGAGACGAGAAGAAAGGCAGGCACAGATGGACATTTAAGAACGGGGGAAGATTGCAAAGAAACAAAAGCACGAGGAGAGAAAAAAAACCGCCACCACCACCGCCGCCGCCGCCAGGGTTCCGGGGGGAAATTATTCAATGATCATTTCCGCAGGCGGTGTTCCGAGGCGGCTGGTGCACCCTCGGCGCCATTTGTCATTGCGTCCGAACACGCGACGTTTCATTGCCGTGTTTCCGTCCCTTTTTGCGTTGCGTGAGAAAGGCATGAATCTCCTGTGGTCTGAAGAAGAAGAAGAAGAAGAAAAAAGGCAAACCAAAACTCTTTCTTCTACTGTTTTTTTTCTCTCTCTCTCTTCGCCTCATTCTTTCCTCTCCATTATCGAGCTGGAATTTTCTCGTGTCCCTTTGTTCACGCCACCTGCAATTGCCGAGAGAACCGCAGTTAGTAACCGCATTATTTTTTCCCCTCCTCTTCCTTCCGATTTAAAACCGACCGTTGGGAATTACTGCACGCAAAAAAATATAACGCACTGACTGAAAACAGTGGACGTCAGATCCCACAGTCTACGTGTTTTTTTTCTTTCGAGAACTAAAAGTGGTATTTGTATTTTTTTTTCTTAATATTTCTTCTCAAAATCGAGTCTCAATCCGAAAAATCGATTTTTAAATTTTCGTGGACCGCGAAAGAAAGGTACCGTATATTAAAAAAGGTACGCATCAAGACCAGATAATTTTGCGTTACACTTCAGTAGCCAAGCGAGAAAATGCCCAACTACACATAGAAGAGAGGGATTCCGGAAATAATTCTCGGATATAAATTCGGAACAGACACCGAGAATTTTATATAGAGGATACTTTAGTTTAGGTTGGGTTCTTCAAATATCAAAATTCCAAGCGAAAAATGAGCAAAAGCACGAGCATCGAAGCAGAAAATGGCCGAAAGTTTTTTCGACTCGCTTGACTAACCACCGTAGGAATCATTCGCGGAAAATTTTGGGTTTTCAAAAAGAAATACACATTTCAGGGTTCGTTTGTCGAATCACCGCACCTTGACGAAACGATTTGATGGTACACCAGGGATCTAAAAAAGTTTCCGCACCCGTTCCGCAGTTTAAATTTTCGGGTTTATTGCAAGAAAATTTGACGGATTTACTAGATAATGAAAATTACTCGCGTTCAATAGAGCGATCGAAAAATTTTTGCCGTACTTCTTCCGAGTCAACATTTTCAGGATATTCGCTGCTCTGATCCGACACAAAATTCCACGGCTTTGGTTTCGAAAATTGCACAGTTTTACATATTATATTGGCGAATATACTGTAGTAACTTCAAGAGCTAAAAAAAAGTTTTTTTCTAATTAAAATATAAAATTTCAGGATTTTTAGCATACCACAATTCTAACGAAGTGATGGAAGTAAACAGCATCAAGGGTGTGTCGGATTATTCTTGGCAGGTTTTGGCTGATTCAGTTCAGTACTTCAAGGGAATCAGCACTCGGAAATGATAAAACATTTTAAATGGGATACATGGACCAGCTGGACACCATTTCCGAAAAAATCTCAAAATTGAAGTACGACGATAAGAGCAATTTATTTGTTAAAATGCTCCTCATTTGAGGAAGGACATGGAATTTATACTTTGAAGTTCTTTTGAAAGCAATAAATTTGCTTGTTAATGCCTTGAAATCAGAATTATAATTTTGTAGCCCCAAAACTTACAGAATCATTGAAAACAAGTCGAATGTGAGTCTGGAAGGTCTACAACCATTGGAACAGAATGCTGAAAAATCAAACTTTACACCCACTCTGCCTGAAAACTGAAGCTCCTCTAAAAGATTAAGATCATTCACTTCACTGGAGTGTGTCACTGAAAAAAAAACAGATCCGCCGAATGGAGCAAGAACTACTGCCAAATTAGACTCAATATTTCTCCTAATCCTCTCATATTAATATAATTTTGCCATTAATCTCCTGAAAAGATTCTTTTAGTAATATTTCAAGACAAAAAACAAACAAACGTGTATTTTAATCCAACGCGGGATCGATTTCAAATAATTGTCTTAATTTATTCGTGATAATAAAATTCATAAACTCTGGCACATTTTCAGGGAAAATACAGACACAGGAAGACTTCTTTCGACGACGATACATGAGAAACCAGAAATGATTTTCCATACCGTTTACAGAAGTAGTCGTATAGAGTAGCTGCTGCATCATTTGAAAGTCTGCTGGCATCCTAAAAGAAAGTTGGCACATGTAATACTTCTAAAAAGTGAGACAACTTAAAATTTGTCAAATTTTCCAGGGAAATGCGGTACCTTGTTTTTTAAAACTGTTTAAAGCAGATGAACGCCTTTTTTCAGATTGCGATTTCGTTATCCTGGCCCATTTTTCCAGGTTCAAGAGACTCTGGCGGCATTTTAAAAATCTATGGTCGAAAAAAAATGAAAGAAAATAAGGCATTCCGGGCTCTAGAGAAATAATTTGGAATGTAGAGAAAATCGCTCCGGAGAATCTGCTTCAACAAGAGTAGAAATATTCAATCGAGCCAGAAAACAAATACGGTAGTTTCAGAGAACATTTTTCGGCATTTTGCAGGAAAAAGAGGGTATAAAATATTTAGTTATACGGAGAATACCCCTGCTGTAGATGAGCTACATTAATACCAATACAATGCGTGCTCGTACCAAAAAAAAAAAAAAAAAAAAAAGAGCAATTTTTTCACAATAAGCGAAGAAAAAAGTTACNTTGCCGAGAGAACCGCAGTTAGTAACCGCATTATTTTTTCCCCTCCTCTTCCTTCCGATTTAAAACCGACCGTTGGGAATTACTGCACGCAAAAAAATATAACGCACTGACTGAAAACAGTGGACGTCAGATCCCACAGTCTACGTGTTTTTTTTCTTTCGAGAACTAAAAGTGGTATTTGTATTTTTTTTTCTTAATATTTCTTCTCAAAATCGAGTCTCAATCCGAAAAATCGATTTTTAAATTTTCGTGGACCGCGAAAGAAAGGTACCGTATATTAAAAAAGGTACGCATCAAGACCAGATAATTTTGCGTTACACTTCAGTAGCCAAGCGAGAAAATGCCCAACTACACATAGAAGAGAGGGATTCCGGAA